GAAACAGAGAGACAGAAAGTGAGAACTCACCCCTCTGGGGGAGGATGCCCATGCTTCAATCCCTTCTCCTCCATTCTCCTCTTGGGATCTTGGGCACGCACGCACATGCGCCCGGCGTGAGTTTAAGCCATTGGGTCCAGGACTCGAATCACGGTCAACTACATGGGAGTCCAGCAACATAGCCATTACACTAACTGTTGGTTCCACCTTTTAAAAATCTTAATGTATAGTATTATGTCATGTTTATCTCAGAACTGAAGATATGAATATGGTAAAAATTTCAAATATATTACTAAGGAAACAGAAAATATGAAATCATAATACTTGAATTTTTTTGGCTATTTCATAATGTTTGTAGTGGGAAAAATACTGCAATGGTCTATTTCATATTCTATTTGAAAATGGAAAAAGTACATTTCAAAATTTTAAAGTTTTATTTCACAATCAATTAAAACTGGATTTAGAACAAAGATGTATGACTGTCTTTGAAGTTAATCAGTAATATGGTTTTCCTTCCAAAGTTTATTTGCCCTCTCACCCCCAAAGCATTTCTTTTTTTCTTTTTTATTTTAAGAGAGATTTTTGTTATAGGGCACATGTGCTTGCCATAGAGAAACAGAAAATGAGAAATCACCCCCCAGGGGGTATGGCTATACCGCAATCCCTTCTCCTCCATTGTCCTCTTGGAATTTTGGGCACACATGCTCATGTGCCCCGTGTGTTTCGTGTCACCAGATCCAGGACTCAAACCTGCATGATCCATTTGCAAGTACAACACCATAACCATTCTACCACCTCTGGCCTATGTCAAGCATTTCTAATGGATTATGTTACAGAATGCCCTGGGGGATTTCTATGTGGTGGCATTATGTATGTCTGCTTTGATCTATTCCACAACCATTATGTGTCCATTTTTTGCTGACTGTATTATTTGACCTCTTTTGATTAACAAAATCAACATATTTCCTTGTTATACTTCACAATGTCAATTCATCTAAATACTGCCAACAAAACACTGATAACCTTGATATGATTGTGCACTGATAATGTGTCAGATTCTCTACTAAGGATTTTGCATGCATTTTCACATTTAATGCTTACAAGAACCATCTGAGGCAGAACTGGAGAGATTATAGTAATTCATTCAATGGTACATGGATAGCAAGCAATTGGACTTCCGTTTAAACCTAACTCTGTTGGGTCGCAAACATATGCTTCTACTGCTACTTCAAACTTCTTCCAAGCTAATTAAATGTTCATATAGGTGAGGTGTGTTCTGCCATGTTTGGGGACCAAGGTGACTGAATCTCTGCTCTATACTCCATCTTCCAGACCTCAAAAATGCTCAGATGGAAGCCATTTCAATCTGAGGTGTGTCCTGCCATGTTGAAGGGCCACCTGGTTTTCATTTTTTGCTGTTAAAGAAAACTTTTTTCCCTCTTTTTTTCCCCTTCGTTTTCTTTTCCTTTTCTTGTTTTCTTTTCTTTTATTGTTTTTCACCTTCCTTTCTCACTCTGCTCTTCAGCTTCCACACACTGAGTGTCTGGACAGGCCTAGGTGCACAGTCGCCAAGCATTTGAATGCTTTCAGGTAATAGAAATCCCCAACCCTTACTGAACCTGCTGTTGTAAGGAAGAAACTCCTCTTTATAAACCTGAACTCAGTATCTCTTTCTGTGGATACCACGTTGCAAAACACAGTAGAGGAGAGAAATTGTCTCAGAAGTACCTTATAGTAAAGGGAAGCACGTGATCTTACAGTCACAGAAACCATCTCTAAGCAATCAGCTAAAAGTGAATACACCACAAAATGACTAAAATTGAGAAAAGAGAGACTGCGGAGTGAGCAGCAGGGAGAAGTACGGAGCTGCAAAGAGCATGGCTCATCCCCTCCCACGTGCCTCTGAACTCTCAGCTGAAACCCTGCAGCTCAGCTCAGGTGCACCCATTCCCTAGAAACTGTGAAGCCTTTGTAATATCTAGATCCAAAGTCAGAAGTGTAGGTTGTTTGGTGAGCATCAGGAAAATGGAACTGCAGGAGATTGTGGATTACCTCCTGCCACACAACTCTGAACACTTAGAATTAACTCTAAGAAATTAAGAAGAAACATATAATCCATCAGATAACCAGAAACCACCACAGAGGCACAAGAAACAAGAGCAACCAAGAAAAGCTCTCTCCTTAGGGGAAAAGAACAACCTTTCATCATCCACAGATAGCACAATAGAACTTGTAGAAATGTCTGATGAAAAATTCAGAATATTCATAGTGACAAAACTAAACAAGATGCAAAAGATGAGAGACAATGAACTCCAAAAGGTACAAGGGAAAAGAGACAAGTTCCAGGAGGTGAGGAAGTTCTTTCACAATTTGAAAGAAGAAATACACACCATAAAAAAAGAATCAAATGGAGCTGTTTGTAGGTGAAAGTTGTAATACAGGAAATCAAAACTTCTCTCGAAAGTATTAAAAGCAGATTGGACCATGCAGAAGATCAAATCTTAGATGTTGAAGACAAAACCCCTGACCTGGAAAAGGTCACCAAAACAATGAGAAAATAACTCCCCTAAATGCGCATAGTATACAAGAAATACTAGATACCATTAAGCACCCAAACATCCAGAAAATCAGTATCCCAGAAGGTAAAGAAACTAGTAAAGGCATTGATAATCTATTCCATGAAATCCTGGAAGAAAACTTTCCAAACCTAGAGAGGCATTCAAATATCCAGACCCAAGAAATACAAAGGACCCCTAGTAGAATCAACCCCAGAAGATCTTCTCTAAGGTACGTCATGGCCAGATTGGCAAAATCCACAAAGAGAAGATACTAAAATTGGCAAGATAAAAGCAACCTCGGATAAACAAAACCTGAAAGAGTTTACCAACACCAGAGCAGCTCTTACAAAAGTTCTGAAAGGAGTGCTTTACCAGAAAAACTAAAGACACACAGACAGAAGTAAGGGAACAAAGTGCAACCAAAAAAATGCTAGGGACAAGTCTGAAAATATCAATAATGACTTTGAATGTTAACTTCCAGGATTTAAACAGAAAAATTGGACCACAGTAACACTGCAAATTCAACAGAAGAGAGATTACATGAGACTGAACTGGTGAAATAGAATTTTAGAACTTTTGTCTAAAACATTACTAATTTTTTTACTATGCCTTTTTTTTTCCAGATTTAAGATTTTGCTTTCTTTCAAGTTGTTGATAGGTTCAGCAATTTGTTGAAATGTTTCTTTTTTTGCTTGATTGTTTCTTGTTTTTAAATTGAAACATAAACTTTGCTCCCTTCCTAGAATTGGAAAATATCTGTGAGTATTATTTTGTGGCAGAAGAGTTATATGCATAAGTTCAATAATACCTGTTGCCTTGCATAAGAAATTGGAAATACTCGACATTGCCAGGGTTTTGACTGGAATGTCATTCTGAAGATACAACCAGAAAACTATGGAACTAAGGTAGATCTCAAGAACGTGGACAGAAGCTCTTGGAAAGAATGGCCTGGCACCATAAACAGTTTTGCCTGGCAGAGAGGATTAGAGAAGCCATAATGATTTCCTACCATAAAATAACCTGGACTTTTCCAGCCCAGCATTTTAATCAGTAGAGATTGCAAAAGAGCAGCCACAACCAGAGGATTACGTCGAGGAAGACTTTAAAGGAAGAAAAAGAAACTGATCTTTGCTAGCAGATGGCAAACCACAGAGTTCTTGGTAGGCAGAACCAAGTTGGGAAGGTTCATGTGTGAATTGTGTGTTGGGTGGTGTTCACTTCTCAACAGTTTGAGTAGTCGACATGTAAATATTTTCTCAAAAATATTTAAAGGCATACTGTGTCTGTTGTTCTAGAGTCACAAACAAAAATATAACAAGCCTTTTGAAAGTTATCTTTAAAATTCAGGATTTGGGGAAATTTTGAAAGTTGTTCGTTAACTGTCAAGAACTATGGCGTATGAGCAAAAATATATGTAAAGTAAGTATTTGTGGGAAAATGTACAATAAATAAATTTTAAAAATATGTATATAGGCAAGAACTTCAAAAAGTCCATGGAAGGTGGAATAAAAGTATGAGTATATTCAGTTGCAGAAAGTTTTGAAACCCGTGAATCATTTCTTTATCATAGGCACTTTCCATGAACTTATTTGACGATTTCCCCCCAAATATTTCTAAGTTTTCATATGAGAAATATCAGAAAATCATCTTCGCCAACCATAAAGAAAATAGCATTTTGTAAATTCATATTTTTTAGATGAGATCAAAAGTGAGAGCCGAGTTCCCTGTTTATTAAATTGCTTTTCTGCTTTTTAAATCTGTGATAGATTTGTAGGGATGATGAAAAGCATAATTCTGTTAAATATACCAATAACAAGTTATGCCACACATTTCAGGGTAACTCTGACATAATGAGTGTGATCCAATGGCCCTTAAACAGTAATTGCAACTTGAAGTAGCAAGTTCCCAGAATGCATAATTGAAATGTGCTTACTATGATGATAACAGTAAAGATTATTTTAAAAATTAATTTATTTATGTTTAGTTTTTCGTCATAGGGCATGTGCACTTGCCAGAGAGAGGCAGAGAGAGAGAAAGTGGGAAATCACCCCCCGCCCCCAGGATAATGATCACACTGCAATTACTTCTCTATTTTCCTCCTGACATTTTGGACATGCACGCACATGTGCCTGAGTGATTTTCAAGGTGCCACGTCCAGGAATCGAATTGCAGTTGGCTATGTGGGAATCCAGCACCTTAATCACCTCACTACCAGCTGGCATCCAGCAAAGATTTATTAAATGCTTAATATGTATTATATAAAATTCTATGAAGTTTACAAATAGCCATTTATGTAATTCTTGCAACAGTCCTGTGTGATAGGTACCATTATCTATCTCCATATTTTAGATTAAGAAACTGAGCTACAGAGTGCTTAATTAACTTGCTCAAGATGCTCTAGAACTGAGCAGTGATATTTTTACATGAATTGTCTAATTCCAGAGTCTGTGATCTTGACCATCATTCAATACTTCATCTCAAAAAAGGCAAAAGTATCCCAAGGACTACTCCTGACCCATTGCCCATAACTCTCTCAGGTATGGTACAATAATTATCCTACTTTTTCTCTTCTTCTGCCACTTTCCCATTTCACTAGATTCTTCCTCATGGCATTTACATGTGTTCGAGCCTCCCATATTAAAAATAGAATCCCTCCTTCCCACTTACCCTTGTAGCTAAGCAATTCCTACATTCCTTTCATTCCCTGTAAAGCCAAACTTGTTAAGAAAATTGCCTGCATTTATTAATCCCCTTGCCTAGAGTTATTTACTCCTCAGACACATTATGATCGGCACAATAAAACTACAATTCCTCCAAAGGATTTTACTTCCAAGATCATTATGACCCTTTTGTCACTGAACATGATGAGATTTTTTTAAAAACCTTTTTGAACTTGTCATCTCAATATTGAGTGCAGAAAACTCTTTGTTCTCTTGGCTAAGCTGGTGTTCTTGTTTACTTAACAACTACTTTGCTGACTTATGACTCTAAAAGGAGCTAGGAAATTAGAGTTGTGTGCATTTTTTTTTTTGGCATTATGCTTGTTAAATGTGATTGTTTTAAAATATATATACATATATGTATATATATATATTTTAATGACACAGGTTTGGCAGTAAAATGAAATGTACAGTGCAGGGGTAGGAATGCCTAAGAAGAGCGTGGTGTGGATTTCATCATGCAGCATGCACAATCAGTGGGGGAGGACGGCATCTCCGTATTTGTGTGCGGAAGTGATGAATCTCTTTATGGCACTTGAAAAGAAAGATATCAACAGCAGGTGAGGGCAGGCTGCATTTCGTTACTGAGACATGAGCACAAGAATTGCCTTTCACGTGCTCAGCTCAGAATTACCGGTACCCAAATTACAGAATGGAGTTCAGAGGCTTGGAAGAAATTTCAGAAGCAAAACTGGACAGCATTTTAAAGAACCCTGTAACAATGACACTTTTGATAACACAGGGAATGAGAGTGGGTGTGTATCTGTGTTGGTAGGAGACGTGACATCGCCACCCCTAGAGGAGTTTGATTGCAAATATCAAAGCATTTAAAGAATGTATTTTTTGGTCAATTTCACTGATATGTACTCTACTCTTTATGATCAAGAGAATTTTTTGATGAAAACCTATCTAAACAAATCTTTACATTTAAAAAAACGTCATAAGAAAGTATTGCACCAGAGTTTATCAGAGTTTTTTTTTTAAAGAATTATTTATTAATATTTCAATTTTTAAAAATTTTGCTACAAGGCACTTATACTCATAAGAGAGAAAGAGAGAGAGAGAGCAAGCAAGCCACAGAATCAGCACATGGCATGATGGTTACATCACGGGACTCCCATGTAGTTGATCACAATTTGAGCCCTGGACCCGGGGGACTTAAAACCCATGCCAGGTGCAAAATCCCAGGAGGAGAATGGAGGAGAAAGGATTGTGGCATGGCCATTTCTAGTGGGGGATGATTTCACATTTTCTGTCTCTTTATCTCTGTCTCTCTCCAGTGAGCGCACACATCCTGTGGTAAAAAATCGCTCTTAAAAAAGAAAAAGAAGAAGGGAACCAGCAGTTAGTGTAATGGCTATGTCGCTGGACTCCCACCTAGTTGACCACGGTTCGCGTCCCCGACCCCGTGGCTTAAAACTCACGCCGGGCGCGTGCGTGTGCTTGCCCAAGATCCTGAGAGGAGAATGGAGGAGAAGGGATTGCGGCGTGGCCATCCCCCCTGGGGGGGGATTTCTCGTCTGTCTCTCTCTGTCTGTCTGGCGAGCGCACACGCCCTATGGCAAAAACCTCTCAAAAAAAAAAAAAAAGGAAAATAAAAAGAAAGATCAGCAGTTGGCAAAATGGCTGTGTCGCTGGACTCCCATGTAGTTGGCTGCAGTTCGAGTCCCAGACCTGGTAGTTTAAATTCATGCCAGGCATATGTGCATGTGTGCCCAAGATCCCGAGAGGAGAAGGGAGGAGAAGGGATTGCAGTGTGGCCGTTCCTCTGGGGGGTGATCTCTTGTTTTCTTTCTCTCTTTCTCTCTTTGTCTTTGTCTTTCTGGAGAGTACATGTGCCTTGTAGCAAAAGCCTCTCTAAAATAAAAAAAAAAAAGAAAGAAAGAAAAAGAAAAACAGGAAAGAAAAAGCAAGCCAGCAAGCAAGTAAGAGTAAGCAAGCTGACAGATCTGAGACTCAGACCACATTTGACCAAATGATAGAAGTCCAGTACCTTAACTACCATGGCAAGCCACTCACCGGTCCTCTATCCCCCCCCCTTAATGATACAAAATAACATTTTATTGTTATTGTTTCTCAGTGGTACAAAATAACATATCTTATTATTTCTTAAAGATACAAAACAACATATCTTAGGAAATTGATGACATTTCAGACTTGATGAGATACAAAGTAATATGTATCATAGGTCTAACTATTGGATTACTCTCCATTTTCTCTTCTAGATTTTAAACTCAATGGCGATATGGACCCTGTGGTTTACCATTCTATCCCAGTGTGCACCACCGCTCTCGGATGAAAACGGGCCACATTTGCTATTGTGCAAAAGTATAAAATGGGTTTCAAGTGATCAGGTCTTTTAGAATGAGTTGGTATCCTACGATTTCTGTGGCCCAGAGAATTCCCAGATGTGGGCACAGTATGAGGGTTCTGCTTTTGATCCCAAGGAAACATTTCAAGCCTTATATTACTGAAGACAAAGGGGACATCCTAAATTTAAAAAGCGGAAGTACTTGAAGTACTCCTTCCTGGGTTGGAGTCACATCAGCCAGCTCTTCCCACATTGCTTCGTTTCACCATCTCTCAAGGACTTCTCTATTTGCATATAACCATCTTCACTCTTAGGTTAGTTTTGCATTTTGTTGGCTTTCCTGAGATACTTAAAATGTTTCTTACCTGCCTCTAGAGGATCTTTACTACCATTGCATGGAAAGCCCTGTATCTCTGTGTAGTTTTGTTCTATGTCTTTGATCTTTTTAGCTGAATTCTATATTCTTATTTACTTATTTATTTATTTTCAGATTTTGCCACAGGGCACATGCACTCACCAGAGACGGAAGCAGTGAGAGGGAACGGAACATGAGAAGTCACTCCCGCTGGGTATGGTTACACTGCAATCCCTTCTCCCCCATTATCCTTTCGGGATTTGGGGCACTTACATACACATGTCCAGTGGAATTTTCAAGCCACTGGGTCCAGAACTTGAACCACAGTTGGTCATTGTGGGATTCAAACACCTTCATCATCACGCCACCTGCTGGCCCCTCTATTCTTATTTTTTTCAAAATTTTCCTCTGTGCCAGGACTACAACTAATACAGATATTAAAATCACATCTATCTGATTCTGTATATCTTGTATAAGACTTTCATTTTGTCTTACTCTATAATTATAACCATGAAGTCTGCTCTAGATATAGCATAAACTTAATAGGGTTAAAGTCAGAATTGTGACTATCACATATATAAAAATTAGTTAACTTCTGAATATTACAGAATAGGCGTTAAGAACCAGCAGAGTGACGCTAAATCTAGCATACACTTGTTTCCCTAAGTTTCGCCCGCCTGTGAGCGGATACAGCATTACACTGGCAGCTTACCCCTTGAGCAGATGGGAAAACCTTAGTGCTCGGTGAAGTCCTTGGCTGGGTATTTCACAGAGCATCTCACATTTTCTTGCAAACAAGTCTGCTCCCACCAACTGCCACCACTACTGCTGCCGTCTCCCTCCGTGCTCTGGCACTGCTCTAATCACTTTTACCTTCCTCGTGGAATTTCTGTAATGTATTGCTACATTACCGGGGACCTGTTCCTGGGAATCGGGCACTCCTTCCATGAGAGGCTGTCGTGCTGCCATGTGCCTCTGTCTGTGTGCAGGAATCTTAGTGCCAGGTGATCAAGACAGTGAGGCCGGACCAGAAAGGGAACACTGTGCTATCTGTCTCAGTTACACCATGTCAGAGCAGACAGGAAGCCAGTCAGACAGCTTTCAGTGCACCTGCTTTTGTGTTATTTAATGTATTATTGTTTTTTTAAAGAACTATTTAATTTAATTTATAATTATTATTATAAATTTGCCCATGTTCTCACTGAAGGGAGACACAGAGACAGAGAGAAGGGGAGTAAGAAAGCAAGCTGCCAGGTCCAACACTCATACAGTGGTTGGCCATGTGGGAGTCCAGCACCTTAACCACCATGCCACCTGCTGGACTCTTACCTGTATTCTTGTGTAACTCACAGGCACCGGAATGGAGAATACACCTGGCATGTTGATATTCCAGAATGACTAGCTCTTTCTTAAGAAAGCTGGCTACATGTAAGTAGATCTGATTCTCTATGGCTGGCTCCTTTTTTTCTTTTTCATTTTTTTCTCCCCCCTTCAAATGGAATGTTCTAGAAAGATCTTGGCCACTTCTCTAGGGCCTGCCTACCTGTTCTAGAATACCATCCTACCTAGATGCCTGCTCATAATTTATAACATGGAAAATGTACAATGCTAGTTGATTCGGTGATACAAGGAAATATGTTTCTTTTTCATGGTTTAATTATAAATAGACTAAAGTCTCTTAAAGCAGTTCTGAAGGATTTTTTTTTTTTGAGAGGTTTTTGCCATAGGGCACATGCGCTCGCCAGAAAGAGAGAGAGAGACAGAAAGTGAGAAATCACCCCCCAGGAGGATGGCCATGGTGCAATCCCTTCTCCTCCATTCTGCTCTCAGGATCTTGGGCACACATGCACACATGCTGGCGTGAGTTTAAGCCACTGGGTCCGGGACTCGAACCTCGGTCAACTACATGGGATTCCAGTGCCATAGCCATTACGCCACCTGCCGGTCCCAGCTCTGAAGGATTTTTAAATGTCAGCTTCATGCATTGTTCGTGCTTTCTTTTTTTACCAGAAAATGTGGTTTTCCTTTGACTGGCTGAGAAATTCCTTTGGTTTAAAGTGCACAAGTAATAAGACTGGCATGGATCCGTGTAGAGCTCAGGCTTGATGGCAGATGCTGCCATGTTCCAATGACAGCTCTGGTGCAGGTGCTCACTGTGACCTTGGACCATTCGGTCCCCCCTCTCGGTGCTGGGCTCTACTTCTGCACTTGATGGGGGGCTTCTGAAGATTCGTTGTTCACTCTCTGTGCAGGAGAATGGACACACTCAAGGACGGTACCTGCTTATTCTGCAAGGTGGTCTTTTGCTGGAGTCAAGCAAGGCCATGGGGCTGACAGTGGTGCAGCAGTAAATCATGAGCTTCTGCAAGATGGATCCATGTGGGAAGGTTCTGCATGCGTGTCTAGAGACCTACTTGGGTATATCAGGTATGTTGTTGCCTGTGACCCCGGGCTGACTGAAGCTGGAGGTGCATTGTGGTATCAAGACCCTGTTGGAGATGCCTGGCTCGGGCTCTCTCCCCCTCTGTCTCTCTCACTCATGAAATAAATAAACAAATTCTATATGTATATAAGAAAACAAGGCCAAGCCTGATCAGAAGAGCCATGCTTACCTGTGGGTGGTTTGCCCGCAGTACCTTTGGTTCTCGTGCCATGCGCATGTGGTAGCCAGAAACAGACAGCTGACAGCCAGAGGAGAAGTGATCACCGCCTTTTGTGTGAAAGAAATTCTTTATCATCTTTTCCAGAGAAATAATTTCTATCAAGTGGGAAATGGATCTCTTTAGAACCACGTGTGTGTGTATATATGTGTTATTTGATGTGAAAGAATATGAAGGGTGGATATTTACTTCTCATGCATGAAGCAGAACCCAAATGAAGCTGTGTATCTACTGCACCGATTATAAAATTAGTGATACGTGCGTGTGCGCAGTGCTCAGAGAGCCCACTGTACATTAAAGACATTGATTTGCTTATTGAAGTTTATTCACCTATTTCTTCAAAAGTGAGACAGAAGCACACACACCCCTTAACAGGGTCTTGATGCCCCAACCGCCCTCGGCCAGCTCTGGACCATGGGCATGCCTGGAGTACTTGGGGAGATCTCTGACCATGAACCCTGAAACTTCCCTGTGGGTCAGCCACACAGTGCATCAGGTTTTATAGCTGTGCCACCATCTGTCTCCATCAAGACATTTAGTTCAAAATTTTCCAGATTTTAGAAATGGATTTTCAGAAGTTGTCAAACTGCACATAGTAATGACCTCTTTCCAAGTAGCATACAGAAAAAAATAAGAAATATATAATGCAAGTAGAGGATAACATAAGATATTGTCATGCATATGTGTGTATATATACATACACGTGCATATACACACATATACATACAAGTGCATATATACATATATACATACACATGCATGCACACACATATACACACACGTTCATATACACACATATACATACACGTGCACACACATATACATACACGTGCATACACACATATACATGCACGTGCATACACACATATACATGCATGTGCATACACACATATACATACATGTGCATATACATACATACACACACGTGCATACACACATATACATACACGTGAATACACACATATACACACGTGCATACATACACATATACATACACGTGCATATACACATATATACATACATGTGCATATACACACATATACATACATGTGCATATACACACATATATACATACACGTGCATATACACACACATATACATGCAAGAAATAAATACATAACCCAAACAGAAAATAGCATAATATGGCTACACAAACGTGTGTACATAAACACACATATGCAACCATGTAACACAGAAAGTATTATGGAAGCTAAAATATTTTTTTCTTCAAACAATTTCAGGGAAGGAGGTAGACTTAATGGGATTTTTATCTTTATTAGATCATCACGAAAGTCACGATGTATTTTTCTACACAAAAATGAGTTGCGACTCTCCCAACAACCCAATATGAACCGGAGGGCACATGTGTTTGCCAGAGAGAAACAGAAAGAGGGAGGGAGAAAGCACCCCTCCCCACATGGGGAAGAGTCACGCTACAATCCTTTTTTTTCTCTATCATCTCCATCCTGTCAAGATTTGGGGTACATACAAACATGCACTTGACATAGTTTTCAAGCCATTAGAGACTCAAATTGCATGGTCAGCCATGTAGGATCTGGCTCCTTTAACCAGTAGGCCATGAGGCCATCCTTAAAATGATTTTAAAGGCCTAGAAAAATTGGTAAGATTTCAACTTCCAAATACTGAAAATAGTTTTTGCAAAGATAGATAACCAGAGAAAAGGAATATAGAGAGGAGTTAAGAAAAAGGATTCCAGTTAAGTAGAGGAGCTCTTGGAGAGGTCAGCTCACAGAGGGCTATTTCCCTGGAGAATTAACTTGGATTCCTCATACAGATCTCAATATTGCATACACAGATATCCTGATGTATGTGAGAATCAAAATGTCCTTCCAGATAGACTCACATGATTCAAGTCCAGAAAGTGATAAAAAATAAAATGTTAACTTATTTATGGAAAATACAAAAATCACATGAATGATATACTCATATTAAAATAGCAGTGTATCTGTATGTCTTGGCAAATCTTTGCCATAAGCCAAATTATAGTGAGAAAGTTGCCCAATTAACATGCAGTCATGGGCATTAAGAGGCATTTTCATGAGTGTATCATTAGCAGCCATCTAAGGCAGTGCTGGGTTCACAATGTGACTCTGAAACTGAAGGTCTTGGCCTCGATTTCTACACTATTTAAATACTTCTCCTTACTTCCCAATATCCTCTATAACCTTGTCTAGCTATGCTTTCTATGTATTATAACACTTATCTCTGACATTTTATATTCAAATAATTATACATGTATATATGCATCTGTGCATATATTTATAACGCTTTTTTGCTTCCTTACCCACTCTTCTTCAAAAATATAAGCTGTATAATGGCAAATGTCCTGTCCAATTTGGTCTCTGTGTGTCTACAGCATCTGAACAGTACCCAGCACACACTAAATTAATTTTTTTTTCTTTTTTTTTTGGAGAGGTTTTTGCTATAGGGCACGTACACTCGCCAGACAGAGACAGAGAGATAGCAGGCGAGAAATCACCCCCCAGTGGG